ATAAAAATAATAATAAAATTTAGAATATTAAAAATACGTATAACACCAAATATTCTTAGACTTCATTTAATTCGTAAGATTATGATTATTATCAGTATTTGAAAGATCTTTAGAATTACGTAAATCCTCTGTATTTTTAGAATTCGTAAAATTTCTAGTATTTTCAGAATTCTGAATAAAGAGATCATTATATTGCGTCATTCACGTGACTTCATTATGACTGGTTAATTGCTCCGTTGATAATATGCAAGAAGAAATGAAATTCTCAAATCTATTGATACAAAGAAATTTCAGATCTGGTAATATAAACAATACATATTACAAGAAGAGGCTAAAATTAATCATCTTGTTTAGAGCTTTTCTCCCAATCTATCTCATACTCAGAAAAGGATAAGTTAGCATCAGTATTATATGATCATAATTCGAATATTACGGCTAGCTATAAAAATTATGCATAATATAAAACAACTATAATAAAAAATACTATATCAGCTTGTATTTCTAATGCTAGGTAAAAAATGGTTTCGCCAATTTTCTTGACTTATAGTCAATACCATAAATCTGAAGCACTAAATAGCTAACTCTTCCTCCGTTATTACAAAAGCCTGTTGAATTAATGAATCAGTCTTAAGAGATATATATAATGTAGTGCAAGTATATCTGAGTTTAAAAATCTTTGAAATAATCGATCAAATATGTTTAATATTTCTAGCAGAATTACTTTAGGTGATCTTGCTGAAGCATATTTCAATTTTATGTAAAAATAGACTTAACTGTTAAGATGCTTCGTAATATCTTTCAACTGAATATTAACATTATGTATTTTAATTATTTAGCCAAATATAACTTATACTTTATTTTTTTGTGAAATGAATAGCTATATAATCTGTATACATGATTGTCTAGTATAATTGTAAAATGTATCACCTGCAGGATAAAAAACCTGATTTGTCTATTTTGGATTAGATCTTCCAATATGCTGTATAATTATTTTAATAAAGTATTTTTTGAATTCAGGAAGATCAATAAAACGCTCTTGGGAATTCTTGATTGTGAGACAATATAACTATCAGTTTGAGAATTTCTATGCAATAATTATTAAGCAAGCTTACAGAAATTACAAGAAAGAATCTGAATCTTTGGCAAAATAAATTTGGGAGGCAATAAGAAATGATGGTACTTCTGATATAAAAAAATTCTTAAGTATACTTATGATCCCTCAAATGGAAATAAATTCTGAGACTCAAGAAGAATATGCTTTACATCTCAATGAATTTATTGATACAGTGCAAAACCTCTATAATGAAAAATTAAAAATTTTAAATAAAATTAGATTCTATGATTGGATTTTGATTTAATAAAAAAAATTGAAATCTACTTGCAAAAAGAAATTGATTCATAAAATAAAAAAAGTCTCAAATTCATTTGCTTATGTAATTTATCACGTGAAATACCAAAAGCTAATCATAATCTAGAATTTGATAAGTCACATGACTTTATATTTAACGAAAATAATAGTTTAATTTTAATACAAATTAAAATTTATTTATTAATATTTAAATCAAGTTTATTATAAATGCTATCAGGAACTCTCCTATGCGATTTATATTTTTTACAGCAAATTCTGCTATTTTATCTATAATTCTCTTTCTATATATATTTATATAACGTTAAGATTTTTGTACATAATGACGAATTGTAATCAAAAGAACTGAATCTAATGCTTTAGAAACAACTTCTTGTAAACCTGCCCAAATATATTCATAATGTTCTCTAGTATATCTTTTAGCTGCACCCCAATACATTTCTATATAATTTAACTCATAATGATATTTTGGATAGAAAATACATTTATGCCCTTTATTTTCTATTTTAATTTATAATCTAGATTTTTGTGCAATGAAATCAGATTGTAATGATAAAATTCGACGTATACAACAGTCTAATCTTTGAGAATCTGTTATTTTTCCTTTTTTTACATAATTTACAATCTCTAATTAAACCATTTCTTCATAAACCTCTTTCTATAAGAATTTGTCATGTACCTTTAGCTTTATTTGGATATTTTGGATATTTAGATGAAAAAACCATTGATTGTGCCATATTATCTAACCCAAAGTAAGTTGAATGCATTAATGGTTGCTTTTCTTTAAGATTAACATTCATTTTAGTAGCATTTAAACCATCTTCTAGTATTGCATCATGATTAGTGCTATTATCAAATACCATTACAGTAATTGTATCCGGATAAATAGTTTCAAAAATAGGAATAGCGTAATTAATAACCTGATCAATTAAATGATCTGCTGTTTACCAGCCTTCTTCGATCAAAATCATTCGAAAAATTATTCTTTATTATATCACAGGTACAGTATCACCTTAGCTCTCAGTTAATTCCCAGCGCTTCTTCGCAACCTTCCCGCAACTCAAATCACGAGATGATCGGCCAACCAGATTTCGGATTTTTTCTTTAGTCAGCATAACGGGAATTCGGGAAAATGATTACGAATAAAATGCACATGCAAAAAAAATATTATTTTTTCTGATGGTAGAGTCTGGATAAGCTTGTCCGAGCTCGTCAAAATTGCGCAGAACCAGGATCATATTTTTGGGTCTGGACAAACTGCGCAGATTATCAACCCTTAGCTTTAAAATTTTGGCAATTACATATTCGGTTTCATCCTTAGTTAGATCACCTGTCCACTCACTTCGTTCATGTCCAGAAATCAGTAAATAATATTATCTTAGGCTGAGAAGACACATCTGGAAAAATCCGATGAAAAAAAAATCACATGCGCGTTCCGTTTTAGAACGCCGATCACTTTCCAAGAGAAAAATTTCAATACATTGACGTCCATTATGTATGCGAAATTTTACTATGGCAATAAATCAACATATAAACATTTTATTTTTCTGATACAATTACACTCATCCACATGTAGCACACGTTAAAAAGATAAAGCCCGATGTGGGCGAAATAAAATTTTGTTAAATGATTGGTTTATTAAAGTAAATATAGGACACTTGATATTAAGTCGGATGAAGCCAAAAACGAATAAAATTGCTGTTTATATATATATATATGCCTGAGAAAAAAAAATGCTCCCACAGAGTAAAATTCGGCAGAAGAAACTGCCTTGGATCCACTGCATATTCACTTCTTAACCTTTGCGACCTTTATTGGCGATGGCTTTGTTTGAATAAAATCACTAAATTTTCTTTTCAGGATCTGAGCTTTATCATTATCATTTTCTATTTCCGCAGTATATTTCAATTCCGTCTTAATGACCATCTACAACATAATTAATTCAATTTAGAATGAAAAAACAACGAAAAGACATGATGATAATAAACTTACAATAAATTCTAATAATTTTAATATTCCCGATTTCATCATATGAATATTTTTCGAATGAGAAGCTACAGTGAAACTCCCAAACTCCTCATATATATATACACCATCTTTCCACATAATTAACATCTTAACTTCGAACAAATATCCAAGTATTCCAAAAACAGCACGATTAGTGTAACTAACATCTCCGATTTTCATTGCATTTAATATGCGGACATTCAGACAATCCCTTAATTCTCTATAAAATTTGAAAGAGTCCATAGAGAGCTTTGTTAAGTCAGGTTTAGTGGGTGGTCCTGCTTGCTCTCCAACAAAAATTTCCTCTCCCGTCTCCCAAGACCAAGCCAGCAAATCGGCGCATTTTCCTTCAACCACTTTATATACTGAATGATCAAGCTCGTGGTTTTTTCTGTACTTAGATGCACGTACGGGGACTTCCATTCTAAGAATAAAAGAATAAATTTCAATAAGATATATCATAATTAAAACAATAAAAAAGACACTATTGATCCAATATTTACGCTCGCCAATCTAAACCTGCAAATTCTTGTAAAGCATAAGAGAAAAAACGATGTCCGAACTCCGACCAATAGTGATGTTCACTACTGTTTTGGGCACTAATGTCCGGAATAGGTTTAAGGAATGACTCGATTCTGCAAGACGAAAAAAAAATAATCACAACAATGAATTAATGAATGATAATAAAAACTTAACCGATACTTACAAAGGTAGCATTACTCTATATATCTATTTTTTGAGTCTTGTTATTTCCTCGGTGTCTTCATCATTAACTACTATCAGTGCATTTGTGATGCAAACCCAGTCGGAAATTGTTTTCTTTGGTCCGTCTTCAGTTAAAGACTCCTACAAAGCAACATGACATATCTATTAATAATTGTTTTAAATAACAACACAAATCACATAATTACCTTATAATACTCCTTTATGACTTCATGCCAACAATTTGGTAACACTGCACTCCTTTTTGGTCGTAGGGAAAGTAGTTTTGTGTACTCTTCAGTTGTTAAAAATTTCGCAAAACCGCCATCACCTCTGATTTTCATGACATCATCATTGGTGCAACTATACATTGAGAAGATATTAGCAAAACTTCACATAGTATGGTACACCCCCTTAAAATAAATACTGTACTTACGAGTACACATTATTTTTTTCACAATCTTTGTATTCTTCGAAGAGTGGAATGAATTCTTTGAAATACTATTTAATGAGTATTTGTCACATGCACTAACAAAGCAATGTCATACCTTAACCTCATCTAAGCCCGTTAAATTCTCAGAAGAAGCCCTAAGGATGCTTTCATGGGTTTCACTGGCTGAGGATTGAGCGAAGAAAGTGTTTCCGGTGATTTGATGAGGAGGTGTTTGAGTTCCTTTTGCACAATAAACAGGAATGGCCAAAAGTTATTGATTAAATGTCTGAATAAGCACCAAAAAATCCTTCTTACCATCTTTCGTATCATTTCTACCTAACAGACTGGAATTGGAGAATTCTTCACTATCATCATCGATCTTATAATCAACATGGTCTCCGTCATCCTCAGATTCATCATCGGATGATTTATCATTGGGGGAGAATTGGTCTTGGGTAGAGACAGTTGACGATTTTTCATCTGATAACAATAAATGATCATTTTCGGTATTATCATTGTTATCACTTTCCTGTTCGTATTGCAAAGAGTAATCAGTTAGTGGCCAAACTTGAATAATAACCCGGCAACAATAAAACCTCACCTTATACGTTCTGGTACGCTTTACTGTCCTTTCTTTTTCATCAAGAAACTTCTTCGAGATCTTGGTAGTTGTTGACCTAGCATATTGTTGAATTTGTCCCGTTGTTACCGTAGCAATGGTTACGTGTTGGTCCGCCTGTGCATTGTAAATGGGATCAAGAGCGAATGAATGTTTTGGCCTAGCATATTAAGTAATGAGGAGAATGAGTGAAGTACCTGCAACTTCCGAACCTTCGCCTTTGCCTTGTTCTCTTGCATATTGGTTTTATCCTCAATCAATGCATTCTTCACCACAATATTTTGTCTTTCATTTTGAAGTTTCCAAAAACGATTTATTACCGTTGACTGTTTACTTTTCTAACAGTGATAATAGGACAGAAGTTCTAAGTAATTTGCCTAATAGATTTTGTTCGATAACCATCCCACCCATGCAAGCAAGGATAGGAGACATCATGAACGAGCAAGCACACAGATTGTACATTCATCTTTCGCGAGCACCATGGATCCCTAAGTCTATTGAGTATAGCTCACCAACAGACACGCAGTCGTTCCCACTACAAGAGCGCAGGTTGCAGGGTAGTTGGTGTACTCAATAATACATAGAGTCTCAAGGTGTTTCATGGAGTATAGCTCATCAACAGACACGCAGTCGTTCCCACTACAAGAGCGCGGGTTGCAGGGTAGTTGATGTACTCATGCTCCTGGGTCAGAAATAAATAAACTTTACTTACCTTAAAAGCATTTTTCCACCTTATCACTTCCTGTCCAGGTTCAGATACTTCGGCATAAAATTTGCCAATTGTATCTAGTTCTTGCTTGTACCGATGGTACTCAGTTTGCTTATCTTCTAAGTCGCCAGCCAAAAGTCCGAAAATCTAAAAATTTCTTGAGCGAAGGCTCTTCCGTGTCTTCCCAAAAGGCTAAGTAGTCAAAAATGATAGGTTACGTCGACAAAGCATCATAAAGACATCAGTAAAATTTTATCTTGCCACGGTATTTCACAGCATCAAGGCATTCGGGTGACAGTTGCATTTTTTTTTTTACGAAATGAAGCACCACGAAAAAATAATATATATCTAAGCCACAAAAAAAAATCAATCCGCAGTCTAGAGTGAAAAATAATTATCACGCTATAGGAGTTGACTATTAGTTTTAATCTTATATTGAAGTTATAGTGTGCGTATCTATTTATCAACTCGACAAATTCATCGGTCAGAATTTTTGTAAAAAAGCGAACTTCGATATACTGCGCACTGTATCTCGACACGTGACAAAAATCTGGCGACAGAAATTAATACTGCATTTAGGCACGTGACGGTGATCATATCATAAAGCCGGGAAAAAAAATGATTAGTATCGTGATGACGATTTTCTAGAATCAAGCCAAGAAATCAAACAAACTAACTTTGCTATTACTTTGCGAATATACTCGTTTGATTGATTGTTGATATTGTTGATGTTAATAATGATAAGTTTGAATATTTCTTTTGATTTTTTTCCTGCATTACTTGCACAAGGCGGATAAAAGGATTCACTAATTAAGGCCTCACCTTTTTATATAATTTGTAGTGGGTTTAAGAATTGATTTTCGGAATAAATCTTCAAGGGAAATGACATTATTTTGATTCATCATGAAAATCAGATCAACGGATACTCTTTAGATTATAATAGATACTGGGATCGTGTCTCTGGATCAACAAGAGGTTTTTTTAATTATCAAATACATGCAAAAGCTTGAGTTTATACGGGAAATTTCGAGAATAATGGTGCAATGATTTGCTCTCGTAAAACATGGTGATCTTTCCTAATTATACTGTGCATTTATCAAAATTTTATCCCAGATGAAAAACTGATTGAGAAATATTAGTATACAAATACAATCCCACGTTATTCTCAACATATACCAGATACATGTAAATATATTGTGCTTAATGTGCCTTAGCTTTATTGATTGTAAACAAAAAAATACATATTTTTTTTATACTGCGGAATAATGTCAACAATGCCATCACATAGCTATGACTGCGGACTTGAGTTTATTGCTTGAAGTGTTGCAGGTAAGACAATATTCCGTTTTATTTCTATACCATTCACCATGTAATCTATGACTGAGGTGATGCAAAATTATAATTATCAATCCTTCTGAAACTATTTCAGAATTTCAGGTATGTGAAATGCTTTAAAACAGATTTGATAATTAACTCTGAATCAGGTTTGGCTTCGAAAGTGATAGGTCCTTTTTCTTCACATTACTCAGAAAAAGATAAATAGGATGCTTTGTTTTCTGGCTTCGAATTTATGAGAAGGTTGGCTTCTGATGCATGCGTTTCTGATAGTTGCCATGGCTTATACCCAGTTTTTTTTTATATCTTTTATATAAATTGGAATGAATCTTATCTATCAAAATGCTTGGTAACCCACTTAATTTGGCATGCCAATCCAGATATTCGAGGGTTAATACTTTATCAGACTTGGACATATTAACTTTTTTTTATGATTGCAAATCAATTTAAATTAGGTAATAGTTGACATGAATTAGTCCTGTAAAAAATATCACAATGAAGCGTGAATAAATATAGTATTATAAAATAATGAGATTATGCAGTTATCTCAAGTTCACGCTATTTACATTTAATAAAATAGAATCCAGTTTTATATCTACCTTCTATGCTTTCTTCATCACCATGATCTAACTTGCATAATGGGTATGATGTCTCGTCAGTAATTTCATAATAATCAAAATTTTCACTACTAAATTCTCTATATAAATTAGGATAATAATCCAATATCTTATTGAGAAAATAGACGTGGTCATAGGTTGGCTTATATTAGATGTAGATAATACATTTGCTGATATACTTATTTCCAAAGGATTTGCTTATATCTCAGTCTTATTAGTTTTTGAAGTCACGTGTTTGTTCTAATTTAAAACGGAGTCTTCATAACCTATATCATCTGTATTAGTAACTTTTTTGAGGAAATCATTTATAATGTCTTAGATCTGATTATCATATAAATTCGAAATAGCACTTACGCTACAGTTAATTATTTAGATTCTATTTATTCCTATTCCATCAAACAATATATAGATTTTTTTAGCTCTGAAAGTTATTTTACATCAGTAATGTTAGGAAAAAGAAGTTTGATTTCATTGTACACTAATGTTCTTACTGATTTATCATCAATACCATTCTTAGACTTAACATCCCTAACTCAATTCTCATATGCTTTATAGTAACAATACCAGCATAAAATTTCCTTACGTCTAAGCTTCATTGCTACTCTAAATAGATCAACTACACTCCCCTGAAGAAAGTATCCGGGCACGGCTTTTTGCGAATTGTAGCTTAATTATATTATGTTTTTAAATAAAT